TCAGCACCTTTAAATATTATTAATGTGTCATTTACATTTTACTATAATTTTTGTATGATCAATAGAAAGATGACTAACTTGTTTTATATTTCATATTTATTTATTTTGTAAGTATATTTCTGATTGATTAGGACTTAATGGAGTTAATGGAGTTTCCATTATTAAATCTTCTTGTTTATAACCAAAGTAATTTTGATTTATTATGACATTAGTAGCATTTATTATTTCATTTACTTATTTATTATTATGTTATTTAATATATAAAAATAAACTTAAGATATAAAACTAAATTAAATAAATTTGTTAGTAACAATCAAAGACTATTTTTTAATTTTATAATTAATTATTTTTGAATACATAACAGAGAGTCATTTAAATCTCAAAATTTACACAAAATTTAAATTATAATACCTAGTTAAACTGTTTATGAGTTATAAAAGTTATAATTTAATTTTTAATACTAATTACAAGAGAATATAAAATTATTTGTTCTTTTACATTTATTTGGACAATATGTAAGAACACTAAAAGAAGAAAACACCGACAAAAATATTATTTAAATTGATATATTATATTAAGAGTTACTATAGTAACCCGTAAAATAAAAAATATTATTTAAATAATATAATATTTTTTATGATTAATTTGATAATCTTTATTTTACTAACTTAAGTCAACAAAAAAATATTGTTTTTGTGCGCACTAAAGTATATTAAACAGAGAGCTCATAATACAATAAATGTCACCATAAGTAGAATGGTTTGACAAAGGATCACGTGTCGGATAATATTGTGCAATCTCAACTGAGTGATGGTTATGCAATAGAACACTGTTTACATACCCAAGAGAGAAGTTCTTTTCGGTTAATTTATGGAAACTCACACCTCACACAGGTCTGTCGGTTTTGATTTTTTTTGTCGGAGTTGGGCTGATGTATAGAAAACGATGTTATACTGTGTGGCATCAAGTACTTTACATGTTCCCCGAAAACGCGAATATTCGAATTTTTAAATGGGACAGGAGAATAACAAAAAAATATTATCCAGGACAAAAGGTCTAGAGCACAATTGAACATAGAGTTTTCTTGACGAGATAATGCACTCTTGAAGTACAATAATACCATCCAACGACTCGATGGCAATCAAAAACACAATTTATTTTTAAAAATTCCATTACCAATTACACAAATTGTGTATATCTAGAAACCAACGATTCGTTTTAAAATAATAAAAAGTTCGTTATTTCCAAAACAGTGTTAAAGACGGTTGTCGATTTACCCTATTGTTTAATAAAATCTATATAAAGTAAAAAAAGAACTTAAAAAAATTCTAATTCAAAATTCCAATTATATTTCCTTTAATACATTTTCTGTAAGCTTCTTTTTTTTAAAATAAATATTATTGTAAAAGAACTATTAATTCGAAATATTTTAATAATATTTCAATTTTAAAAACATTTACATCTATAATACACTTGTTTCATTTCTTAAAAAAAAATCATTTATACTGTAATATTTACTCATTTTTTTAATACATTAAATTTAATACGAAATAAAAATTGAATAATACACTATATAGTTAATTGTTATTATTCGACAAGTACCGTAGGTAACAGATTTGGTAAAAAATTTAATTAAGAAGAATTTAGACTAAAGCACAATAAAACATTATGTATAAACTCTGTCAAATAAAATAAAACTTTGTAACGTGTTAGATGTTACATAAAATAAAATATGCGTTTTTCCTTGACAGAAGCTACATCATAAAATGTATCATTCATTTAATGGAATGTATTCACTCATCATTTTGACCAATCTACCAACACCCCTTACTGTGCAACTCCAATGGCATTATTTATTGAAGCAAAAAAAGAAAAAAAACAAAACTCTAATATTTTTGACGGAAATCATTAATCACCGCGTTCGTTATTATACTAATGTTAATTTTTTCTCGATGATGCAGCTGAAATAATACTCAATGGTAAATTTTAATAAAAATAAATATAAACGAGTTTGTCGATGAATTTATGGAAAACCAAATTCTTGACGACTAGAAATAAATTGATAAAATATAATTAATATCATCTATTTTTAAACAGAAAAAAGAAAAATAATGTTGTCTAGACAGGAACAGGATTTTGAAATAATGTGTACTTTCATATTTTTGACTCGTAGAACATTTGTATATGATTTAGTAGAAGTATATTCAAAGTACTTCTACTTTTTATTAACTATAATGTTCGATTAATTTATTGAGCTCAGTATTTGTCTTTTTTTTTACACAATGAATGAAATGCTCAAAGTTTTTATTGATTTATTATGTAAATTGCAATAAAATGAAACTTAAACAAATTCTGTTACAATTAACAGAATTTCTGTATTAAATGGGTATTTTTACCTTCTTGATAAAATGTAATCACTTTTGTTCACTTATAAACAATGTATTCAATTGTATTTCGATTTCAAAAGGGTCAAACGAGAATAAAATCTAATATTCCTCAACTATAATAACGATCCTTAGTTGTTTTCTTAAAATCATCCGGTCGTCTCGCACTGATTGGATTATGATTCCTTTCTGGGTACTCGAAAAAGGCATACACACGTACCATTTGTTCCCATTAGCCTTTCGAAGTCGTTTGTAAATCTACCGATGCAGTAAATGCATTTCAAAGTCGTATAAAATGGCTAATCAATTTCAACATACGATACCTTAAATGTTTGTAACAAAAAATAATGTTTGATTGGTCAAATATATTTCGAACGGATATTTTTTTTACTGTCAAACCGATAAGTATCGCACAGTTTACGATTATTATAGGACATTTGAGCCTAGATTTGTTATAGAATGAAAAACGATTTTAATTTAATATCATTATTTTGTTTGGCTTACAGTAATCTATTTTTAAGAATTGATAGTAGTATTAAAATGAAATTACATCAAAATGTATATATACATTAATATACATACTTATGCAATATATAGAATATACACATTTATAAGTATGTACGTTATTTGTAGTTTAATTTGAAAGATATAATCCAACGCTAAGACCACGGCATTTATAGATACTTAAAATATTTCATTAAATCATTTTAATACTGCACTTTATTGGTGAATATTTCCAATGATATAATATGGAGATTAGTGTTTTACCCTCAGATGTAAAGAAACATTTTAAGGGCAAACCTCCCAAAACACTTTTAAGTTTCTGCCGTCACCACTTAATATCAGTGGCGGCTCGTGGGTGCTTGTGGTGGGAATGCGACTTTAAATATAATACTGTTAGTCATAAGTATAAAAAAATGTCAAATTAAATGTAATAAAATAAAACACAACAAACATATTATTTATTTCGCAGTAGAAAATAGAAATAATATATATTAACAATAGCGATTATAGTATTATAGCAACCGACAAGTTTACCCAATTATGTCATATTATCAATTAAGTATTTATTAATTAGCTGTTAACACTCATATTAATATAATAATATGATTATGAGCATATTAATAATTATATATTTGTTTCAGTTAATAATGTTCATAGTTAACTTATGTTGTACGGTTTCCAAAACTCTGTGATCTTAATAATTTATTGTTGTATTTTAATATTACCCAATATAGTAATTCACTAATATTTTACAATAGGACGACGCTGTCGGTCGCCCAAACACCGCTCGTGTGTACATGTGTACTCGCATATACTGAGGGAAATAACTTCAATGTTCATACACGAAAAATATATTAGAACTATTTAATATACAATTAATTTTCTTCTTTTAATTAACCCAAGTACGGGATGTAATCGTCTCGTCGACCAAACCATGAGCCGCCACTGCTATTATATTCTAAATATATAACAGTGTTATAATTACAAGTAAAAAATGCGAGATATTCACCTTATAGACTAACAATATGTGCATAACATAAACATGATGTACGTAATAACTTAATGTATATAAAATTGCCAGTCTGCTTGATTACTAAAATTATCAACTATAATTAATATTTTATGGTGCGTGTTGCATAAGTTGTTATAAATTCCTGATCCCATGTATGTTTAAACTACAAAAATATCTTTTATTGTATTGTATTTACGCAATCTATTATAAAATACTTTGGCGCCGAGAAAACGCACGTTATTAAATTTTCATTCGCTTGTCTCCTAGAAGGGCACTTCAAAATTTTTTTCAAATACGTTAATAATGTTATGCTACGATTTATTGAGAAGTTATATATAATTACATTAGTATAGTAAAATCCATTATTTTATATTTATACCAAAGACACCGTTAATATATTTTTTAATAAAACATCGTCCTTTACATTTATGTACCTGTTTTGCATACACGCCTTAAAAGAAATTATTTTCATAATATTTATTAACTAAATCATATTTAAACAAAGGTGTTTTTTCTTGAATTATACCTATATAATTCAAAACTTCAAGTATTACTATAAATAATTTATCAGGACAATTAATTTTATAAAATAGAGTTTGAAGTATCCTCCAATATTGATTTAATTATAGTATTGCTGTTTTGTTAAAATAATTAGTAAACTGGAAATTGTAGATTTTAAATTGCATAAATATCTAATGTGATTATTTATAATTAAAATTCTTTGATTAAATCGTTTGTACATGACATATACGAGAACTATGACTTTTTTAACGCTTTATATTAAGAGAAATCAATTAAAATCCTACATTGATGATTATTGGATATTTATCTCGTAGTATCTCTAATGTTATAACGCTTTTGTATGAATTAATTAACATAATTAATTAACATATATAAACTAATTTTATCTACTAACAATTTTTGTTTCTGCATATTAATAATGAAAATATTAAGAAATATTTTTAATTCTTTATAATAAATAAATCGCTAAGTTAAAAAACAATTAAAATAAAAATCAATTAAAACACACTATCATTTTGATTATTATCCCATTTGAAAAGAACTATTGTGTATATGACTAGAATTACTATATTTTTTACCTGTATCCAAAATGGTAAATAAAACCCAGAACTACACAAAAACGATGCTGCTAACGATAATGTTGCCCAACACATTCCGGTAATGGTTAAGGTAGTAGCCATCTAAAAATATAAAAAAAACATTCAATTTATTATGGTTATTAATAATAGAAACTACTAAACTGCGGTTTAAAAAATAATGAAAACTATATTTATTTTTCTTTTAAAATTAAGCTGAATAATTACTCGTAGTTTTACAGAAGTTTTTAATGATGCTGAACAGCAATGCGTAGTAAAAAATATTAATATCTATTAATAATTGTCAGCCGTAGAAGGATTAAAAGTTCATTAAAAATTCAATTACTTTTTTAATAAAGAAAAAGACGTTACGAATAGGATTAATTCATATTTATTTTTAACGTTTCACATTATTTAATATTAATATATTTCATTCATTAATCACTCTTATGAACCATAAACATTATCGATATTATAAATTCACTAAAAGTACATATGTACATTGGATAGGTACACTACAAGGTGAAGCGAGTTATGAGAATCATATTGAATGGAGAAATATCTTTCAAACTGAATCCATGTGCAATACAATGTTTTTGTTGTTCCTTTTCGGAACATTGATGCCTATACAATATTTTATTGACGAGCCAAATTGCCGAACGATTTAACCCATACTCGTTTCAAATCCACATCTTGCATTTCAACTTTCATATCATTAAAAGTTTTTGTCGTAAACAAACTTCTTTAAAACCAACATCTTATACTCGAATATACATACATTACTCAAGTGTAATGTGAGAGGACTATTGTTAAGTTAAACTTTTACGGTAAATCAGTCAGAAACAGTGCTTCTTCTGTCGATTACAGTAGCTTGCGGGTATTTTAGGATAGGAGCTCCCAAAACGGCTATAGAAGGTTAGTAAACTATAAAACGTAGTTTTATAGGAATTCAAAGGTTTTGAACCACAAAAATAACACTTTATTTTAAGACAATAACTAACAGAAGTGAAAAAAGGTCTCATAGCTTATATTAGAACACAGCGTGTCGAAAATACACATAATATGTTAATTGATGTCAATGTTTAATAAATTTGGTTCATTTTAGTGAGTAGATTTTTATCATCTTGACAAATCAAAAAAATGGCCAAGTTATAAAAATAATTTCAACTAAAACTATTAGACATATTGAATTTTCATCTTTTAATTTGAGCAAAACAAGTTGACATTAAAATTACATAAAATTAATATTTCCTAAAAATTAGGTCAATATGAACATAGTCACTTTGTAAAATTAAAAAAAGGATTGTTCCATTAACAAAAAATTAGTTTTTTTCACTATCTTTAATTTGAACCTATATTTTCATAAGAACTTATAGAAATGTTCATTTTTAAAAATAATAAATATTAATTACAAAAAATACTGTATTTATAAAATATAAAGGCCATATACAATAAATTAACAAAATAAGATAATTAAATGTGAAAATTAAAAGTTGATCACAAAAAAAGTGTATCTAATGAAAAAAAATCATAAAATAAAAAAATTAATTAGAAAAAATATTTATAATTATATGTATAAAATTACTTTAGGCCAACAGAAATATTATATCATTGCTTTAACATTAGTTCAATATTTTGATTTATATATCATTGATTCTTGATAATAATACTATCTTAGTTCTTCACCCTATAGTCTTTATTAAATAATGTATTCTAGGTGAAAAAGATACAAAATTAGATTCAAATGTTTTTATCAACTCTTTTACTATTAAATTTAACCTGCAACTTAATTAATTTTTTTTTTGGAACTAGATACACTTTTTTCATAATCAATTCGTAAATTTTACATCTAAATATTTTATTTTGGTAATTTATTGTTACTGGCCTTTAAAATTTATAAATAAAATCAAATATAATAAAATATACTAATTTTTTTAATTATTAAGAAATTATAATTATTTTATATAATTTTGAAATTATACGGACTAACGACCCGTCCCGGAGTATAAATCGTTAAGAAACCTCCTCCTTTGGGGAGGCCGCTATGGCCCTTAATAGGCTAATAAAAGCGTAAAAAAAAAAAAAATAAAAAAAAAAAAATTTTGAAATTATAAAATAACTAAAAAAGGCTATATTTATTTAATTTATTTATATTTAATTATTTTCTTACAAAATATTTTGTAGGGTCAATAAGAACTTTGGTATAAATACTTATTGAGTTACAAGTATTTAAATAAATGGAGTGAGTATTTTATATACACTTCGAACTGGTGTACGTATACGCCACCCACGTTCCATACTCACTTTATATTTTAAATGATTGTAACTCAATAAGCATAAGTGCTTAAGTTGTTATCGATCCATTAAAATACTTATAACGCGAAATAATCACTATTTTTAAATTTTGAATAATTAAAAAATGTATTTTTTTATTCTGTTAGAAACAAATAATAAAAAAATTACTTTGACGTAGTTAAAAATTATTAAAATAGATTAAAAAAAGTAACGTAAAATATTCACTAAATCAAAAATTGTTAAAGATTTCAGAACCCGTAGGAACATCCGATATAACCTTAAACATTACTTCAAAAACTTTAATATCAAATTGTAATATTAAATAACTAAAATAAATTATGAATAAATAAAAAACCATTCATATTTGATGATTAAAGATGTTAATTGAAATTAGTGAATACTAACATTTTAATGGATAGGGGTTTTTTCAGCACGTAAAGTTTTTCCTTAGCAATTTTAGTGTTTTTATCATTATTTATGCTCAGTTGTAAAGATGTTTTTGTTTGATGTATATACCGAAAAAGCTTTTCTTAGTAGTAAAGTTTTTTTTAATATTCTGAAATTTATTAATTAAAACTCAACTTTGTATTGTTAATAAAAATAATTGATATAATTTATGGTTCATGTGCGAATTTTTAATAGGTCTTATTTTGGTAAACTTTTTCAATTAACTTTTATGAGTTTAACAAAATTAATAACTCCCTAAAGATAATTATTATGTTTAAGTAAATCAAATAAAACATAGTAATATAACATTATTTACATAACAGAGTATGACAATTTCACACACAAATTTTTAACTAGACATTTGGATTCAATTGAAATATGAAAATAATTTGGTTTTATGAAAAATAATTTAATATGTGCTTTGTAGGGTTGGTGATGGTGAACGAAGTATTATATCAATAACATAATACTGCTTTATTATAACTAACATCATTCTATTTTTAAGAGAAATTCAGAGAGTTTTCTTATGAATTTCAAATTATTGCTCATTTATTTACGAATAAAGGATATATAAATAAAACTAAACGAGTTATCTAGATTTCACCAAAAGACCTAATAGTAATTCTAACTTATTTTCTGAATATAAAATCAAAAACCTGTACAACAGATTTAAAGTTAACCCTTGGTCTACGGTCAAAGAATAACTTGGATTAAATTACTACTGTACCAAAACAAAAAGCCATTTGAGTTGTATTCGCTCGTCTGATGTTTTATTAGTTTTCAGTTCACGAAAGTTACTCAATAAGTAAAATGAAATATACAAATGTGAATTTAATTCAATTTTATAAGGATATAATGTTCAATGTTACAATGTTAATATTTAACAAAAGTATCAACAATAATATAGCTATGTATTAATAATATTAAAAATTTTAAACTACAAAATAATTTTTTTACTATGTTATTGCTGATACTTTTATTAAATATAATTAACATTAAACATCGTCATAAATCTAACATTATTTCCTTCATAATATTAAAAATATTAAATTATTAATTTTCAATTGGAATATACTGTGAATAATTACACTAGTTTACAACAAAATTGACCTATGACTTATGATAGTCATTTTTTATGTAAAATCGTCCACTGAGTCCGAAAATGAAGTCCAAAATACAAAAAGTAGAACAGTTTTTGAGTTATTGCGAAATTAGCGTTTTTCGTGTACCGCGAAAAAACGTTTTCATTATATTCTAAATATCTTTAATTGCATTCAACCGATATTCATTTTTTTTACATAAAATTAAACAATATTAAATTACCTATAACTTTTATCTTAAACAATTTTTTATTTGACTTTTTTGTCGTTTGCTATCTACGAATTTACCACTGAATTTTTATCATTTTTTTCAAAATGTCAGAAAAAATTCAGAGTTTTACGTAAAATACACCAATAAAAAATAAATTTATCAACAATAATTTTAATAGACGTTATACTCTAATACATAACAAAGAAAATGATATATTATTTTGTAAAATTGATAAAAAAATGAAGAAGTTATGCGCGATTGAAAAATAAAACAAATTTCCTAATATCAGAGTTTTTTAATTCGATGCTTTTATTTTGTAAAATATAGACAAATTACTCACAATATTACTTTTCAAAATAAAATTTCGATTTTTTAAATAACCTAAGGTTATTTCCTACAAAATGAAATTTAGAATTACGAACAAAAAAACTTCACCTTGGCCACACTGCTCATCACTAATTGGTAGCACTGTACCTTTTGTCATTTGAACTAAAACGGATAAATTTATTTTGGTCATAGAAGCGTTCTATATTCTATTAATATATTCATTTTTTCTAAGATATTTAAATAATTCATATAACTATTTTACGTTTATTCTTAATAAAGATAAAAATGAGTTCGAATAAACTTCAATATAAGTGTAAGAATAACCCCAATAAATTTTGTTATGCGTGTGGCGAATACATTTTTGTTACACCGCCGAATTTTACTAGTACATTGCAATCTGCGTATCATTTTTACTTTAATATTTCTTTAATATTTTTTACTGCTATCAATAAACAAACGCCATTCTGTTGGATCATATGGCTCACCAAATTCTTTAAACAAACCGTTTAAATAAACCAAAATAAATTTATCCGTTTTATTTCAAATGACAAAAGGTACAGTGCTACCAATTAGTGATGAGCAGTGTGGCCAAGGTGAAGTTTTTTTGTTCGTAATTCTAAATTTCATTTTGTAGGAAATAACCTTAGGTTATTTAAAAAATCGAAATTTTATTTTGAAAAGTAATATTGTGAGTAATTTGTCTATATTTTACAAAATAAAAGCAT